AGGAGGAGCAGCAACAGCAGGAGGAGGAGGAGCAGCAGCAACAGGAGGAGGAGGAAGAGGAGGAGGAGGAGCAGCAACAGCAGGAGGAGGAGGAGGAGCAGCAGCAGCAACAGGAGGAGGAGGAGGAGGGTCGTCGTCGGGGTCATCCCGTCCCCGGAGGCAGGCCCGCTCCCGCACCGCCCGAGCCGAGCTGACCTTCTCCGTGAGCCAGGTGGAGCGCCGTCTGCGGGAGGGCCGCTATGCCCAGCGCCTGAGTTGGTCTGCGTCCGTGTTCCTTGCCGCCACCCTCGAGTGCCTGACGGCCAAGGTGCTGGAGCTGGCGGGCAACGAGGCCCGCCACAGCGCCAGGAGGCGCATCACCCCAGAGCTCCTGGACATGGCCGTCCACAACAATGCACTGCTCAGCGGTCTCTTCGGGACTACGACCATCTCCCAGGTCGCCCAGCCCCGGCGCTAGCTGCTGCTGCTGCTGGCTCAGGGGGCCCTCGCCCAAGCACCTGCCCACCTGTCCACCAGGCCCCAGGCCCCCTCGCTCTCGGGCCAGCCTCGCCCGGCCAGGCTTGTACCTTCAGCCAGCCCTTTCATTAAAGCGTTTCAAGAAACCCTCCGCCTGCCTCAGTCACTTTGTGTTGGGGGCTTGGGGGGGGGGGTCTCCAGGCCTCTGGAGTTGGGGAGACAGCCAGGCCAGGCCCTGGGAGTGCTGCGGGGTGGGCTTCAGGCCTGTGGTGTTAGGTACCTGGGATGGCAGGAGGAGTAAAGGGAGGAAGAGGAGAGAGAGGGAGAGAGAGGGAGAAGAAGAAGAATGAGGAGGAGGAGGAGGAGGAGGAGGAGGAGGAGCAGGTGGCAGCGGCGGCGGAGGCCTTCTTCCTGGGGGTGGGAGGGGCAGTGCAGGGGGTGACCCTGGGTGGCAAGGGCAGGCCAGCGTGGGCATTGTGGGGTGGGCGTCGAGGTACAGAAGATGCTTCCCCATGGCCCTGAATGACTCAGGGCCTGCCTGCTTGCGTGCCTGCCTGACTGCCTGCCCGCCCACCCACCCAAGTCGCCAGAAAGGGGGTGGCCACGACAGACACTAGGGCCGTGGGTCGTGACAGGACCCATGTCTGAAGGCGACCGGCCGCGGTGGGGTGGACAGGTGGCCACAGTGGCGGGGCTGGGCGCCCACGGGGCAAGGAGCTTCGACGGCAAGATGGAGACGTGAGGGGGGAACGATCCAGGGAGGAAAAACAACAAACAGGGAACTCGGGTCAAGCAGGGTCAGGGATTGAGCTTTGGTCACGTTCAGATGGAGAAGCTGCTAGGCGCCCTTAGCAACCGAGGGCCACTAGCTGCAACCTAGCAACAGCTGGCGCCTGCAGAGGCCCCGCAAGCCCAGGACCCCGCCTCGGTGCAGAGGCCCTCGTCTGGACCGCCCCATAATCCGTCATTGGTGTAAGTACATCGCGGGCAGCCGGCCGGCCCCGCCCCGCCCCGCAGCCACTATCTGCATATGCCCCGGACCCGGGACTCTGCATTTGCCTGGGGCGGGGGGGGGGGCGGCTACGGGAGGCCAGGCCCCGCCCCCTCGCCCTCGATTTGCAGGAGCAGTTCCCCGGATGGCCAGGCCACGCCTGCGCGGGACCCTCGATTTGCGTAGGAACCCGGCGCCAGGCCAAACCCCGCCTCCTGACCCGCGCTTCGCAAAGGCAGCTGGCTTCACGCCTCTCCGGTCGCGCCGGTTACTGAAACCAGCCCGGGACCCGCCCGCGTCCCTGATTGGCATACGCGCCTCCCAGCCAGGCCCTGCCTCTCACCTTTGCACATCACCAGGGCGACGGGGGACTGCGGGGGCGCCGCAGCCAGACGTGTGCTTCGAGGCGCGCGGTCGCGGTAGGCCGCTGCGGGCCGCTGCAGCGTGACGCACGGCACGTCGCGGCCCGCGGCGGCGTGGCCGGGACCTTTGCCCACGTAGGCGTGTCCGGAAGTTCCCGGACCTGGCAACATGGCGGCTTCCACGTCCGGCCTCGGCGGTGGCGTCGTCCCTGGTCCCGAAGCCGGGGACTTCCTGGCCCGGTACCGGCTGGTGTCCAACAAGCTGAAGAAGCGGTTCCTGCGGAAGCCGAACGTTGCGGAAGCCGGCGAGCAGTTCGGTCAGTTGGGCCGCGAACTGCGCGCCCAGGAGTGCTTGCCTTACGCAGCCTGGTGCCAGCTGGCAGTGGCGCGGTGCCAGCAGGCGCTCTTCCATGGGCCTGGGGAGGCGCTGGCCCTCACGGAGGCCGCACGCCTCTTTCTGCGGCAGGAGTGCGACGCTCGTCAGCGCCTGGTCTGCCCCGCCGCCTATGGCGAGCCGCTGCAAGCGGCTGCCAGCGCCTTGGGCGCCGCTGTGCGCCTGCACCTGGAGCTGGGGCAGCCGGCCGCCGCCGCCGCCCTGTGTCTGGAGCTGGCCGCCGCCTTGCGCGACTTGGGCCAGCCGGCCGCCGCCGCCGGCCACTTCCAGCGCGCCGCCCAGCTGCAGCTGCCCCTTCTGCCCTTGGCCGCTCTGCAGGCGCTGGGCGACGCCGCCTCCTGCCAGCTTCTGGCGCGCGACTACAATGGCGCCCTGGCGGTGTTCACGCGCATGCAGCTCCTAGCGCAGGAGCATGGCAGCCATCCCGTGCAGCAGCTCCAGCCTCCACCACCGCAGACCCTGCTGGCCCCGGCGCAGTCTCAGCCCCAGCCGCCGGGGCCCCAACCCGGACCTGGCGCGACCCCCTTGGTGCCCGCCGCACCGCTCCCCCCAAACCCTGGCTCTGCCTTGCCCTCTCCTGTCGCCCTGGGCGCCTTCTCGGAGGTGCTGGTGCGCTGCGAGGTGTCCCGTGTGCTGCTGCTGCTGCTCCTACAGCCACCTCCGGCCAAGCTTCTGCCCGAGCACGCCCAGACTCTGGAGAAGTACTCCTGGGAAGCTTTTGACAGCCACGGGCAGGAGAGCAGCGGCCAGCTTCCTGAGGAGCTCTTTCTGCTGCTGCAGTCCTTGGTCATGGCTACCCACGAAAAGGACATAGAAGCCGTCAAGTCACTGCAGGTGGAGATGTGGCCTCTGTTGACTGCTGAGCAGAACCACCTCCTTCACCTCGTTCTGCAAGAAACCATCTTCCCCTCAGGACAGGGGGTCTGATAATCACTTTAACCAAAGACCTTTTTGCCTGGTAGTCAACCTCATTCATCCACTTTTGCATTTAGGGGGAAATAAAAGGCTTTGATCCAGGTTCTGCATCTCCTGTTACTCATAATGGTGTTTGTCTTTCTTTGCCTAGGTTATTTCACTTAACGTAATGTCCCAAGATTCACCCATATTGCCACAAATGACAGTTTCATTTTTTAAAGGATGGACGGTATTTCATTGTGTGTGTGTGTGTGTGTATATATATATATATATATATATATATATATTGCAGTTTGTTTATCCAATCATCAGTTGATGCATAGTTAGTTGGTTCATTTTCATGGCAATTGTAAATAATGCTTCAATAAACTTGGTAAAACAGATGCCTGTTTCTCATAGTGATTTTCTTTTCACAGTAGTGGTTTATTTCATCAATAATCATTTTGAAAGAAATGAAATATTTGTGTTTCCAGCACTATGGGAATATTGCAATTTGGAGATAAACCTGCTCTACACCTAAAACAGTAGCCCTGGTGCTTTTTATGTAAAGTATCAGGTAAAGAGGTGAAGAAGAAAACGGTTGTGATAATCTCCCTGTGTATCTGGGCATGAGACCTATGTTCGTAATCAAATTCTTGGTGATCCTGTTGAGTTGCTACAAGTTTCCATTCTCCAGAACTGTTGGACAAGAGAGTACTCAGAGGTTTAATAATGGATCTTCTAGTTTCCAAAGAGTTGTCCTGCTTGCTCCCTCTGTAAACAGTAACCAAATTTCCCCTTGGTAATTATGATCTTCCTGACCAGCACCAGGAGCCCCTTTCAGTGGCATAAGTCTGATTCACCAGAACTATGATTGCATTCCCTGGAGAAGCATTCTCTGGGGACTAGAACCACTAAACCTATTAAACCAAATATACAGGAAGCAAGTAGCAAAAAATGCTTCCAATTTATTAGATGAAATGGTGAGAAGGGCCAGTCATTTGTTTTGGTTCTTGGAATCATGCATCCTTGCTGTAGGGAGATAGTGTAACATTAGCCATTAGTTTAAATTATATCCTGTAGCACAGCATATCTACCTGTCTTTTCTCCAAGTTGTTATCCTAATCAAGCCTTCAACAAGTCACTCCACCATTCTGTAAAGCCAGCTGCTAATTATTGATGGGGAATATGGTGCAATTAGTAAATTCCTTGCTGTCTTAGGCTGAGACAGGAGAATTGTGAGTTGACTTTTATCAGGTATTGTGTCAGTAATAAAAAGCCAATTAACATGCATGTTCAGAAGCAATATCATGTGCCATTGTGAAGGATAAAGTATCCTGTTGCAAATAATGGTGCTGACCGGGTGTGGTGGTGCACACCTGTCATCCCAGTGGCTTGGGAGGCTGAGACAGGAGAATTGTGAGTTCAAAGCCAGCCTCAGCAACTGCAAGGCCCTAAGCAACTCAGTGAGACCCTGTCTCCTGGGGATGTGGCTCAGTGGTTGAGTGCCCCTGAGTTCAATCCCCAGTACAGGGGAAAAAAAATCAAATAATGGTGCTGAAAGAACAGATACTTCTCAAAACAAGAAATACAATTGAGCAACAAATACATGAAAAAATGTTCAATATCTGGGAAATGCAAAACAAAACTACACTGAGAATTCATCTCACTCCAGTCAGAATGGCAATTATCAGGAATACAAATAATTAAAATAATAATAAATGCTGGTGAGAATGTGGGGGGAAAGGTATACTCATACATTGTTGGTGGGACTGCAAATTAGTACAACCACTTGAAAGCAGTATGGAGATTCCTCGAAAAACTAGGAATGGAACCACCATATGACCCAGCTATCCCACACCTTAGTATTTATCCAAAAGAACTAAAATCAGCACACTATAATACTGCTATAAAAATTGTACTGCTATAAAAGCAGTACAATTCACAATACCAAATTATGGAACTAGCCCAGATGACAATCAATAGACAAATGGATTAAGAAAATGAGGTGCATATGCCCAGTGGAGTTTTAGTCAGTCATAAAGAAGGATTGAATTATGGTATTTGCTGGTAAATGAATTGAAAAGGAGAACATCATGCTGAGTGAAATATGTGAATAAGTAAAGTAAGAGGTGTTAGCCTCTACTGTTGGCAAGTTAGGCAAATGTATGTTAAGAATAGTCACATCAGCCTATGATACATGGGTTTTGTTGAGCTTGTGCATAACTTCCATCCCTGCCACCACAATTACTTTGTTGATTATTGCGAGGTGGCTAGCACCTTGCCTTTCCTGCCCAAGATGGTATAAGCCATGGGAGAAGATAAGTCAGAAATAATTAGTGAAGACATAAGACACAGAG